CATCAAAGAACCCTACATAAACGTTCTAAAAGATTCTACACAGGATCTACAGCCACCGTGGTTTTCCATAAAACAGTGACAGAACACCACTGAAGAAGGATGTGCGCCGGGAGACACGATTTCTCCAATGCTATTCACCGCGTATATACAAGAGGCATTCGGGACTTTAGACTGGGAAGAGTTTGGGATAATGGGTAATGGACAGTACCCTTGTAATCTGCAATGCGCTGATGACATGGCCTTGATGAGTAACTCAGGGAACAGAGTTACAGCTCATGATTACTGAATTTGACACGGAAAGCTGAAAAGTAGGTCTGAAAATAAGTAGGCACAAACTAAAGTAATGTGCAACAATGACGGCCGAAAACAGCACTTTACGATAGGTGGAGAGACAACGGAAGTTGTAAAGGAATGTGTCTGATTAGAAAAGGCATGAACCGCAGAGCCGAACCATAAAAGTAAAATAATTAGGAGAGCAAAAATAAGTTGGATCACAATCAGCAAGTATTCTGAAATCATAAATGGTAATCTGGTACTAACCCTCAAGAGGAAGGTATATACTAGGTGCATGTTGCCAGTACTAACCCGTGGAGCAGAAACTTGGAGGCTTACTGAAAGGCTTACTAAATGGTGGACGACGCGAGGAGCGATTGAAAGGAAAATAATACGTGTAAACTTAAGAAACAAAAAAGAAAAAAGTGGGTCAGGGAACACACCAGGGTTAAGGATATCATAGTTGAAATAAAGAAAAAAATGGGCATGGGTCAGACACGTAGCACCTATGCAGTATAAGCGCTGGTCATTAAGTGTAACTGACTGGTTTCCCAGAGAAGGCAAACGCACGAAGGAGAGGCAGAAAGTTAGGTGGACCATAGAGAATAAATAGTTTGCGCGTATAACGTGGCAACAGAAAGCAGAAAACCGGCTTTATTGTTAGATCATAAGAGACCACTTTGCCCTGCAGTGGGCATACTTAGGATTATTATGATGATGACTATAAGTGTATTTTATGACTCGCAGTCATTCTAGATGAAAGAAATATGTGTTGACTAAACAGTAGCTATTATTCATTATACACGCCCCCGTATAAATGAAGCATGTGTAACGTACGTTCAATATCTATATAAAGCGAGGTGTATGATTTGTGCTTTGTTAAGGCGTTGCTGTAGTGTAGCCGTTATTTGAGCCCATTGAATGGCTACATACATATTTACGCATCAGAATCTTTGTTTATTATTAGCTGTGGAGCACGCCCCCTGCAATGTTCTGTCCTGCAAATAAAAAAAGAGGTACTAGTCTTCATGTCAGTTTCAAGCCAACCGTGTAAAGACGAAGGTTATGGAAAGTCAACCCTATCTTTGTGGCATCAGTGGTTGTAACGTCGGCTCGGAAGAAAGTCCTTATCTATCGCCTCAATAATGACTGAAACCTGATTGTTACAACGATAACACTGCCCAACAGCCACCATTTGCTCACGGGGAATGAATTGGCTGGCGTAGCTGTAGAAGACATACTTCCATGATTGTACGTGGTAAACTATGCAAACCACAATATGTTTTTCCATGTTACTGAACTGAAGGCCTCAAGACTACGTGATCCAGGTGTCCTTTCAGCGATAAAGCTCAACACCTTCGCAATCGAAGATGAATACGTGTGTAGGGACGTACGTCGTCGATCTGTCATTTCAGAATTCACCGAGAATTCGAACCCCTACCTAAATGAGTTACGCATCGTTTCTGTAGTTAGCCAGTCGCCGAAGACCCCTGGGCAGCTACACAATACTACAACTGCAAGACGCACGGCCACATAATGAGACATGACAGTGGCACGGTGTACTGCAAAGTGTGTGCTTAACACAGGACATTGTTACACAATATTACAAGTGTCAAACCTATGTCCACATACCGAGACACGACAGTGGCATGGTGCGCTGCAAAGTGTGTGCTTAACATTGGACATTGGCACACAATATAAGAACTGCCAAGGGCGTGGCCACATACCGAGACACTATAGTAGAACAGTGCGCTGGAAAGTGTGTGCTTAACACCGCACATTGTTACACAATATTACAAGAGTCACAGCACTTGTAATCAATGCCCCCCCCCCCCCCCCCCCCCCGAGGTGGTCTAGTAGTTACGGTACGTGGCTGCTGAACAGCTGGTCGCGCGATTGAATCCCGGCTGCGGCGGCTCCGTTTCCGATGGAGGCAAAAATGCTGTGGGCGAGTGTGGTCAGATTCGGGTGCACAATAAAGAAGCCCACGTGGTCCAAATTTCCTGAGCCCTCCAAACGGCACCTCTCATAATCATATGGTGATTTTGGGACGTTAAGCCTCACGTATATATCTACAAGTGTCAAAGGCATTGCCACATACAAAGACACAATAGTGGCATGGTGTGCTGCAAACTGTGTGTTCAGTACTGGACAATGCTACACGATTATTACAAGTGTCAACAACAGGGTCGCATACCGAGACACAATAGTTCCCGCTGTGCCGTAGAGTGTGTGCTGAAAACCGCACAGTACCTCAAGAATCCAGCCTTAACAAGGAAACTGCTGTGGTCCCCAGATGTTACGCATTGTCAGGGCTAATAGCCGACAGACCTTGAACAAAGTGAAGAGAGCGAGCTGCAACCACATTATTCTTGAAAGAAACTACGTTGAGGCATCTTCTTTTTTTATCTGTCATTGCAGATCTTGCTTTTCCTCGTCGCACCTTGACTGTGCGGCTTGTTCACTCCGCGCGGCGACACTGGTGTGGGTGTTGAACGGCAATTTTGTGGGCGCATAAAATGAAATATGTGGAAGCTACCAGATTTTGGCTACAGGTTCACAAATGTGGAGCAAAAAAGCGCCATATTTTTCAGCCATGTGTAACCAGGTTGCGCCGGATATGAAGTTGTGTCCATTGGCACACTGGCATGTCCGATGGTACCTGGATACCCATAGAGACCCTTAACCAGATCTACAGATCGGGACGCAATTTTTCGTCCCAACGCGAAGATACTGTGAATTCTGCCGCAACTGAGGACGACGGAATATTCATTGCAGCGGCTGAGATAACGCAGACTCGTTTCAGCTAAAAACGACATATATTCCCCCAAATGAAGGGGAGTTTGAAAGGCTGTGGGCGATTCGTGGAGAAACTAAAGGGAAAGCTTTCGTATTGAGTGCCTTGAGCACCTTCGAGCTTGCCGACAGATACATGACATATCCGATGCTACATGGATTAAACTAGATGTCAAATAAGCACCACTTTTCCTCCAGATTACTCAACCAGCAGATAAACTCTGGCCGTTCTGTAGAGGCATACGCATGTCACTGGATCCGCTTCACCATTTTGCCGCACTCTGCCAGACAAACGAAAGTATCTCACAGCATCTGAAACCAGCATGACACAAAAAGCGCCTACAAATCTTTATAGGCCTTCTTGAGAGCTCACCAGCCCCCGGAACTGTAACACAAGCAATACGTCTCTTGCTAGATGTTGGTTTAACCCAAGAAACTATGCCTATTTACTTTGACATCTCTTACAAGAAGCATTTTCTGAACCTTGTGCATTTAACCCACAGGGATTTGGCATTCAGCCAAGCTATGCAAATGCTGCTGCTTAGTCCTGTTTGTCAGCCATACAAATCCATTACGCCAACATTTCCCTTCTGGATACTTTTGCCTCTTGACATAGAAAAGTTTGTACCAAGCAATATTGGAGCAACGAGACACATATCGCAGACCACATTGCTTGATACTATTTTCCTCTACCTACCCAATCACTACACTAAACACACGCATATTTGCACTGACGCTTCAACAACTGAGTAGACCCTATGTCATTTATGTCCCTTCTGTGAGGCAAGTGAGAGCTGAGCTTACTGGCTGCAGCGGATCACTTGCTGAACGACTGCATAAATTCATGGCACCAAAGAAGTTGTTTTCTATATCCTGCACCAAACCGTGGGCCGACAGGACATCTCTGCTGAGTCCAAAGGAGCATAGACTAGCCCAGATTTTAATAAGGTGTCGAGATATAATTTAGAGGCAATCTGGGCTTAATCAAATACTACAAATATTGTTCAAACTGCGGCGAATGTGCGGCATTGGGGACGGGCGAAATCTCTGCTTTCTCATAAAGAGAGAGAGAGAGAGAGCCCAAAATAACCTCTGTGATTATAACTATTCTATGACTACCCGAACACCAGCGCACACAGGTGCACCAGCATCTCCTGCATGCCTCATGCAAGAGCGAGCGTTTTCTTGTGTTCTCTCTGTGACGCCGATCCAGCTGCCGCTACAGCATTATATTGTTCATGTTTATTGTAGTAGTTGAGACAATCTGCCCTTTCTGACACTGCAATGCGATGGAAGTGAGTTGTAATTGCAAGTTGTCATATATTAGTGTTGCGTGAATGTGAACATATTTACGGTCGTTATTGCCAGAATTGAAGCGATGCACTGATAAGCACGTTGGCGAAATACTAGCGCTTGGCACAAAGCAAGAAAAAAGCTGACTGAAAGAATTGCGCAATGCGTACTAAAGAAAGAAGAAAGGGAAGAAACAAACAAAAAATTTACGAAAAAACAGAAAGAAAATAAAAGTAGCTCACCAGGAAAGCACTTGCCAAGCTTCAGCTGCTTTAAGTTATCTTGATGGAGTACGTTTTCTAAATGTTTTGCTTCTTGACAAATGTTTGGCCTAAACGAACGCGCCTTGTCAGTTTTGTGTACTCTGATGGGCAAACAAACGTAATGGGCATCTTCAGGAACACTCATATTTCGCGCGTAGTGTTCAGGTCGGTGGTTGAAACGAGGGTGGCTTTCGAGATACGGGGAACAAAGGTTGTACCTTCGTCTCGTGCTATATTGTTGACCATAAAAATGCGCCGATGGACTCCTTAAGCCTGATAAGCTCTTCTCAAAATAGCCTTCGGCAGCTGCCCTATGGCTGGTTGATAAAAACATTGTCATTGGTTCGTTAGAAGCCAGCGTACGCCTGCCGTCCACAGAAGACGGGGAGCAATTCTGCTGTAGCGTAGGTCGAAACCATCAAAAAGGATCTGCCGAAAGGTAAAGCGCAATCAGCTACCTTTATTGATGCTGATTGTTCACGTTGAAGTTTTATAACCTATTGTGAGCAGCAAAAAACTATTGCTGAATAGGAGCTTTGCCGTAAGGAATTTGTCAGCGTTGCGAAAACTGGTGAACCTGTGTTTTCTCTGGCACTAAAGACTAAACTGATATATGATGTACCACACCGCCATTATCCTGCCTTTGCTGAAAGAAATGGCTCGACAATACGAGCTAAGTTACGGTGAGAGTAGACACACTGAACACTTTTCGCGTGTTAATGCTTCTCAGTAAGTGCATGTGGTCAGTTTTGCCTCAGCGCGTGTCATCCCCTGTTTACCTCCGGCTTGAAACATTTTGCTACCTGTTATCTGAAGTTCATCACTCTCTAATCCTTATAAATTGGTTTTAGGGGACATATACGTCGACTCCGCTCATCGTCAGAAGTAAGAACCAGAAATTATTTCGTTAAGTCATCAAGAGAGTTACAAATTGTTAGTATGTAGAGGGAGGTCCCATAGACAAAGACTGAATTGGGACTTCCTACAGTAATGAATACAGAAAAAACAGCAGTACAAAACATCGGCGCAAAATGCAACGCAAGCTCGAAAAGGGACAATTAAAGAAAAATAACAGTAAAAAGCAGGAAAGGTCGGTTTGGTAGACTTAGGATTGACAAAAAACTTTGAATCCCAATTGTTGACATGTTTTCGCGGAGCTGAGACTTCTACGACACCGTGCTAAGGAGTTGTTCAGTAAGAATATGTTATAAAAGTATGTAGTGTTTTGTGTGCCAAACTATGATATCATTATGAGAGAAGTTCCGGGAATTCGGACCATGGGGACCACTGCATGGTACATCTAGCCTTGCGTCTTCATTGATATGGTACCACTATAGCCAGAACTGAACAAGTGAACGTCCGGTCCACAGCCGAAATCTGTAATCGCTGTTGGAAATAAGCGCGCGAGGACGATCAACAGCTATGGGCTCTTGCTCGCTCAATCATGCTGTATTCTTTGATGCAGCCAGACGTTCGGGTACGGGTCTTCTCTACCTTTTCTACGACCACTATATAACCACAGTGGACTGTAAAAATACATGAAGGACTGCAGTTTGCAAACTCGTACTGGCGATAGAAACAAAAAAAGCGTTGAAATAGGTAGTATTTCCTGAGTGTGCATAAAACTAAAAATGTTGTGTCTTGCTCATTTTTAGGCTTACTTTAATATCTCCTTCATACTAATAGTGTTAGGCCGCTGGTTAAGGTCGGTCACAACATTCGCGTTTCTATTGATTAGAAATTAAACATTCCGGTATAATGTAGGATATCGTTGCACGTTAAAGAACCAGGGGTGGTTGAAATTGTCCGAAGCCTTCCACTGTCACAGCTCTCAATCTAAGTCGCATTAGGACGTTAGGCTAGCAAATTCAAATTAATTAATTTTTATTTATTTATTTATTTATTTAATTATTTATTTAATGACATGTGGGGTTTGATATCATAAAACTACCATATCAATATGAAAGATGCCGTAGTGGTGGGCTCTAGTAATTTCCGCCACCTGGGGTTCTTTAACGTGCACCGAAATCAGAGCACATTGGTCTAAATCAAATTCGTTTACATCTAAAATGCTGCCGCCGGCGCCGGGAGTCGACCCCACAACCTACGGCTCAGCAGCCGATTACCTTATCCACGAGACCACCGCGGCGGAGCACCAAACTTATTCAATCCATCAATTACCTAACTTATTGTGAACTACCACTCAATTCAGCCGTGTAACCAAGCAACTGTCTTCTTTCTCATTTTTCGAAGGCAAAAATATGCGCTATTTGCTAGCAATTGAAGTTAGTCATAAAACAAACCAGCGAATAATCTTGCAAAAGTTCGCTATAATTAATTTTCATCGAACTGCACGCTGGGAATAAACATGAAAAAAGAAGTGAGGCAAGGAAGCGCATGATAGCTTCTTTGTCTCGCATCTTTTTATGTGCCCAACACTACCTGGCAGTTTGACCAAAAAGGCATAAGACGCGGAGAGAGAACACTAATTGCGTGCCTGGTTTCTCGTCTCCTAATGCTTCTGTGTATTATAGTAATTATTTATATAAAAAGATGAAATTTATGTAACAAATTTTATTAAGTCTAGGGTGCAGAAAGAAAATGCAGTTGGCACCTTACAGCAAATATTACCTGTATTATTTAACACACTGTTTTTCGAATCGTTTTTCTCTGTTTCCGCAGAAGAGGACAATTGGCCCAAGATGGACCAAGAGTCGTATCGCTTCTTCGAAGGCGTGTGGATGCACACTTTCTTCAGAGACGAAGCGATTCGGTCGGCTATCGATTACAAACATCAAGACGGAGATGTTATCGTCGTAACGTATCCCAAATGTGGAACAAACTGGACAGTATTTATAGTTTACAACATCCTCTCACGTGGCAAGCAGCTTTCCAACGTCGGCGAGTTTAGTCTCATGTGCCCATACATTGAAATGATAGGAGCAGGAACAGCCCTGAATCCATCCAGGACCGGTCCCATTACGACCCATCTTCCTTTGAAGGTATTCAAGCCGGTAGACAACGCCAAATATGTGTACGTGGCGAGAAACCCATACGACTGCGCTGTGTCCTATTACCACTTCCTGAAGGGACTGACCCCAAAGACTGTCACCGATGTTTCTTTCGAGACTTTTCTCGAGCTGTTCTTGTCGGGGAAGGTAAGTGCGGAATTCATCGTATTTATAGAATGGCTGGTGATGACAAGTGTCACTGCTGCGATGGGCATATTTATTTATATTGCACGTGTCTAGTGCCAGTGTCCTCGCTACAACTCCCTAAGAGATGCGCTAATGACAGGTAAAATGTCTAGGCAACCAACCACCAAAACACTGGTCGGAAACCTGAATGATTTTCGAAAAGCCTTCCTCTTGCAACTTACTCACTTGTTCGCAAAAAAAAAAAAACACAGGCCGTTTGTCATCACTTCTCGACTTCTGAATTCAAGAGAAATGCCTCATTTCACTACCGTAGGATACGCAGATCTGAAATTCGTTTATTTGAACGTGGAGAGTGACACCAGTATAAATCAGTGGCATAAAAAGATAGCTCTAATTGAAGAAACTGCAATTTATCATTTTGGAAAGCCTCATTCGTGAAGCACACATTATGCCCTTTTTTGCTTGAATATTTTTGCTATCCAATACTAGTTTTCCTGCAGAGAAGCCGAATAGGAAAGCACGACGTAATAATCCACATACCTGAACGCAATAACACAAAGCTACTAGATGCCATTTTCAAAGTCCTATCAATATAACTCCACGATACATCACACCGAACCGATACGAATGACAATAAAAGTGCTGGATTTCTTAACGTGAAACTGACCACCCCAGTGCGGCAGTTTGGGATAGTTGGTATGACGAGGCGATAGTTATTACGCAAAAACAGAACAATGAGTGCTCGTGTCCTTCAGGTCTCTTTGTCGTCATTCCGTTCTCGCGCTATAACTATCGTTACCGTCCATGTTTACAAGACTTGAGTTCAGGAAAAAGCGCAGTAGTTCGATAAAGCTATCCACAGACATGCTGCTTTTCTTTATGAACGAACGTTTGTTCTTTTCCTGCGTGATACATTCTTTTAGGCACTTAATAGGTTCACACCATGGTACTGAATAAAAAAAGTCAGATACCTCAATGTCAAAACCAATGATATTATTTTTTTGTTTCCTAAATATTGAACAACCTGGTTAGTTCGTTTTAAAAGCAAAGAATGCCCAAAATTTAAGGTAGACAGCCGATAGTATGAGGAGCGTTGAAGCTTTATGTTACATAGGTCCAAGTTCAAATAGTATTGTGCCAAAGGTTTGCAAAAAAATGAATCAAATGCGTTTTTTTTTTCACTTTCTTCGCTGAAGATACAAGTCCAGACAAGTTTTAAGCTTACAGCAACACAGTTGCTCCTATACTAAACTTCAGTTAGTTTTTTTTACCTTTTAACTTTTTAATTTCCTGACTATAAGTCTACTTTGTCAAAAAGTAAGCGCGAGGGCGTGTGTTGGTTTCTTTCTAATGGTTTAGGGCTCGTTACTGTGGACAAGTAAAGCTGTTTTGTTGTTTTGTCTAAAGAATTGCTCGTTTCAAAAATGTCCTCTGATATTAAGAAAAACTTTAATGACGATAGACTGTGACAATAGCAAAAAAAAAACCGATAAACCCGGGTCTAGTATGCTTTTTCAAGTTACGCTTAACCCTACGGTGTAAAGTGATGTAGCGTGTTGGCTTTTTCAGAGCAACAAAAAAGACGACATTTTAAAAAAATCATGTTCAAGTGTTACTATTTTTACGCAGGTTTTGCGCGGCATTCACATTGCCAGATCAACTCTGCGTTAGCATAGGTTTTTAAGAGTTCAGCTGCGCGGACTCAGTGTTTTCCCGTATAACCTTCACTAAGAACATTTGTGCTATGCACATGGATATAGATTTGATGTTATCGCATGAAAGCAACAAGCTTCTTCTTTTTTTTTCCTTGCACGCAGGTAATTTACGGAGATTACTTCGACCATCTGCTGCCATGGTACGAACGTAGAAACGAAGCCAATGTCTTTTTTCTGACCTACGAACAGCTGAAAGCCGACACAAAGGCGCAAATTCTGAAGATCGCGGATTTTCTCGGCGAGGATCATGGCTCTGCATTGCGTGAAGACGATAATCTACTTGAGAAGGTGTTGCAGACCTGCAGTCTCGAAAGCATGAAGGTATTCCTGAATGCCAAGCCCATGCAGCGAGCGAAGGAGACGGTCGAGGCTGCGTCAAAGAAGGACGACTCCTTCAAAATGGCGAAGAACTTGCCGATAGAGGCTGTCGAGATGCACGAGGGGGCCGGGTTTGTCCGTAAGGGTATAGTGGGTGACTGGAGGAACTACTTCACGGAGGAGCAGATAAAAGAGACAAAGAACTGGATAGCGAAGAAAACTCAAGGTAGCGATGTGATGACGCTCTGGAGTGACTGCGACCTGCCTTGAGACTCAAGCACTAGGGCAAATGTTGTTTTAGTGTCAAACACTGGAAGATGTTGTAGATGCGCCATCTGCGTCTCCTGAATAAACCGCGAGCGTCTAATTAAATACACAAATAAACATTTACAAGGCGTCTTTCTCTTTCACTTCTTGAATATCAACATCCGGGATCAAAGGAAAGGCTGGCTGAGAGACTAAATGTGGGTGTTTTTCAGTGACCATGTAACAGACATGCAAATTTTTCCAAAGATTGCCACTACTTCAAGCAGCAACCAGGTAGAAGCAGTGGTTGTATCAGCATGCAAATATAATTAACCAGAATTCGCTTCAGTTTGTAGTGCCAAGGTCACATCGAAAAACACTAAAACAACATGCCAAGCTATTTCTACCGGTGCGCTGATGTACTTAGTTTTATTCCACGCGTATCTTTAAGGCTCCTTATTTAGGTGTGGTTGGTTAATTTTGTAATTGTGTACTTTTTCATAAATGTATAGGCTGCTGTCTGCATATTAGTAAGATAACTAATCTGCCGACGAAGTAAGGTTAACTGACTTTATTTCCATAGAAGGCAAGCGGGTGAGGGGAGACCAAGTTAGATGAGCAGATGAGATTAGGAAATTCTGGATATAAAGTGGCAGCAACGAGCACAGGATCGATTTTACTGGCGGACCAAGAGAGAAGCCTCTTTCCTGCAGTGGGTGTAGTCAGGCTGATGACGATGAGGATGATTAGGTAACAACGCAGGAATATGAAAGGTAAGCAAGGCGGCTATAAGTTACTGAATTCTTTAAAAGGAAGCAGACTTGGCAACAATGACATGATAACCTACAAGGAGCTGGTTGTAAGGTAATATACCTTACCTGGGCAAAGCTGATGACAGAAAGGTGGCATTTTTCAAGTGCAGGGAATTTGACGTGCAGGTAAATATAAATGCAGTTTGGACATTAGTACGCCACGGCATCAATACAGCACGGCGACAGCGTGCCTGTGCGGATCAGGAGCGCCACCTATATAGATCGAACGCAACTTGTGCCCCCGTAATATCAGCGTGTTTCTCCCCTTGAAGTATTCCACGCTAATTATACAACGTTTAAACTAGGCACATTGTATCTTCACGGGTGCTGACAGAATCATTTGAATTCGAATTGCTTGCACCGTTGTTGTTTTTTTGTTTCAAGAGAGAAAACTGAGAAAAAAAAATGCAGGGAGGTTAACCAGATGCTAGTATCCGGTATGCTACCCTGAACTGAGGTTGGGAAATAGGTGGTTGAAAGACCGAGTGTGTGTGTTTTCGTGTATTGCTTTTTTTTCAAAGATAAAACAATACTAAATGCACAACATACTATTATACAACAGCTTGCTAGTTCACCGCTTTATTTTCTTGACCTTATTGCAGCACTTCAGGCATCTCTCCTCCACAAAGGCAATAGTATACATGCAACGACAAAACAGGACAGATTGCTTTTAAAGCGAGATAGCACAATGGAATGGTCAAGGCGCAATAACTGGTCGATATTGGAGTGCAATTTACACGTACGAAGTGCCACACTCTGGACAGGGGCGTAAACAGTATTTCTGGCTTTGGAACCTGGTTCAAGGGCACATGGTGATTTCATTATATTTTTTTATTTCGACCGCTTGGTGAAGTTGCGCCTTGTTTTTTTTCTTTTAGTTCTTTGATTCTTTTCCTGTCAGCAAGCTGGTAGAAGGAATCGTCAGTGATAAGCTGCTGTGCACACCAAGACGCGAGCTTCATGGATCAACCCTCGCCACTGAACCTGTTGTGTCATTTACGGGCTCCCTGCACCGCAGTCTTCAGATGCGTGAAGGCAAGGCTTCAAGTTATAACTGCGTGATAGAGACGACCGTCGCCACAATCCCGGATCACTGCGGAGCGCACGTGGTCCACAATGCCGCTACTCGATGAAGCGAAGGTCATGCGAAGCCGTTACAATCTAGCAGCTTCCAGACAACTCAAGGTGTCCTGCTTCCTTCAATATCACCTCCACTGACCGCTGCAGCCGTGTTTCTGCCTGTACTCCGCACTCGTGATAACACAAGCCGGTTTACACAACACTTGCCTTATGTGGGGATAGCACACAAGTTCACGATAACGACGTAGAAAGCAGCAATCCATACGTTTGAGCGACCGTGACGGACGAGGAAAAACTTTTCTTTCTTTCTCTCCTGCACTTAAGAAGGCAAATGCGTCATTCATACAGCAGCAACCGCCCTTCGCCGATGCGGCGAAACAAAACAGCCCATATTAGGAAGCAGACTGGTGCTTAGGTAAGTGCATTTGCTTGCGAAAAGTTTCATTTTTTTATTGTAGTCTTCGTTCACATTCGCCCAGTTTTTTTTTCAGTGCACTAGTAGTAGTGTGCGTGCTCTGACTGCACAAACTGTATCATTCCAGACAGAGTGCGGCTTTCCAACGTAACTAGACAGCGATTATCGTGCTGTGCTATAATGTGCACTGTAACTATACCTTGCTAATTTGAGATATATGAGGAGGAGTGCAAGAAAAAACGAACCTCAAGTCGAAGGAAACAGACAGGCCCCGCTGCGGTGGTCTAGGGGCTAAGGTACTCGGCTGTTGGCCCGCAGGTCGCGGGTTAGAATCCCGGCTGCATTTTCGATGGAGGCGGAAATGTTGTAGGCCCGTGTGCTCAGATTTGGGTGCACGTTAAAGAACCACAGGTGCTCGAAATCTCCAGAGCCTTTCACTACGGCGTCTCTCATAATCATATGGTGGTTTTGGGGCGTTAAACCCCACATACCAATCAATCATTGAAGGAAACAGACAGGACGCATCGGTAAGCATTACCACTGTGATCTTTTTTTCATATAGTCATATTCTTCAGTATGCTAATTAGATATTTTGAAGACAGAAATCCGTATGAATTAGCTGAAGTCTCACTTCTACTGAACTGGCTAATCGAAAAAGTACGTGCGGGACGATTCATTCATTTCGCGACAAAGAACTTATCAGCTCGATACTATTAAGTAGACGCCCTTTCTTTTTTAGTGGACGTTAAAGATTTCAGTGGCGGAACCGTACACCAAAAAAATTGGCAGCATATCCACGGAGTGAATGATGGAGAGTGGGGCGAAGCACTCGTCCGTTCATTCGTTCTTGCTTCCGTCCGTCCATGCGTCCGTCTGTTTGACCGCCCATGTGTCCATCCGCCCGTCCATGCGTGCGTCTCTTCGTGCGTTCGTCTCTGCATCCGTTCATACGTCCATCCATGCATCTGTCTGTGTGTCCGTTCGTCCATCTATTCAACACTCCAAGTACCACCATCTCGCATATTTTCATCATATATTCCCCATATAGAAGCACCGCCATCCAGTGGACATTCCGAGGACTAAACGAGAGGTGGCACGCGCACACTTTCTTACGGCTTGCGCTTCGGGTCTACTTCCCACCTTTAACCACCTCTACTTCATGGTATATACTAGTTCACTGTATGCATGGCACTGCGGCTCAACGCTCGCTAAACCTTTCTAAAACCAAGGAGGTTACGCCCAGCGAGTATAACGTAGCAACTTTTTCCTGTCAGATAGTGTTTATAGTACATGTCAATCGCTGCTAATGAAAAAGGAGAGACAGGAGAATTTGGCTTTTATTTTCTTACGGCTTCCGCTCCGTATCTACTTCCCACCTTTAATCACCTCGAGTTCATGGTATATACTAGTTCCCTGTATGCATGGCGCTGCGGCTCAACGCTCGCTAAACCTTTCTAAAACCAAGGAGGTTATGTCCAGCTAGTTTAACGTAGCAACCTTTTCCGGTCAGATAGTGTTCACTGTACATTTCAATGGCTGCTAATGGTGATCACAGCGTGCGCTTTAACTAAAAGCCGAATGTTCCTGTCTTTCATTTCCCATTAGCAGTTATTGGCATGTACATCGAGCACCCTTTTTTGTTGTTCAACAACGCACAGAAGAAATCTCTCACCGGCACCACCTTGGAGGTCAAAATGTTATACTTGTTACACACTACAATGGCTCCAAGGGACGAATGGATGCCGTTCTAAAAAGCTTCGCCCCTAAAACCGGTTACTGGTGGGTGTGAAAAACAGTGCTTTCGGAGATGCGCCGATCCCATGAGAGTTCGCATTAGCCAATTTTCAATAATAAATAACCTCAATCTTGGGCTTGGCAGTGCTCAGCCGCTTCGGAAACGGCTATCTCATATTTTACTGAGGTTTATGATCACATCAAGGTGCGACATTTTATTGCAGCCTGGATTGTAGCCGCGTGGTCATCGTTATCGGCTATAGCAGCTGAAGTGTGAACTCGTAAGCACTTGGATGAAAGTCCCAAAGGGGGAAAGAGAAATCTGTTGGAGTGAGCATTGTGTATGATGATTGAAAGAGAAAAAAAAAGGAAGGAGCAAAGAGAAAGAAAGATAGAAAGAAAGAGTGTAGTGCGTCCGGCAGGTGCACTTGTCTTGCCTCCTTTTCCCGATAAGGCAACGACTGCTGCTTTTGTACATATGTGTGCTTGCTTCTATGTTCGCGCCTGCGTGTGTGTGCGTGCTTCTGTGTGTGAGTGTGTGTATGTGTGTGTTTGTGTGCGTGTGCGTTCGCACGCACCTGTGTGTGTGCGTGTTTGGGTGCGTGCATGCGTGTTGTCACGTACGCAAGATGTGAGAACTCCGACGTACATGTCCTAAGGAAGCTTTCGAGATACACATACAATTTGTCACTGATAGCTCTGCCAAAGCTACATAAAAACAGTCTTTAGACACCGGAATCGGAACAGCGGCGCTTGTTGCAGGAATGATCAGGAAGGCCGGTTACTTTTCTAGCTCCTAAGTAGTTAAGAAGCGTATGGGGGGGGGGGGGGTGGGGCTGTTGTTAAGACATGAAACACATAAAACTTCGCCTACATACAAGAAGAAATGTGAGAATGGGACAAGCGCACACTAACAACTGATTTGTTTGGATTATGCCTTGTTCCCACAACAGCAACGCGCATGCACACGATGTTCTTTGCTGGC